TTCCTCCAAAAATAATAATAATACAGGCTCTCACTACACAGATCAGACTCGAAGTGGTTCTCCTTTTTTCAGCCTTCCAAGCACTGGGATTACAGGCCACCATGCCATCTCAGTTGCCATCTGAGCATGCCCCAGGGGTGAGGCTGGCAGGGCACAGTGGGGATCGAACCCTGGTCCCTGTGCTTGCCTAAGCAGGCACTTTAGTCCACTGAGCTATCTGACCAGCCCACCTCCTTGTTTTCTTAGCCTAGACACATGTCTGAAGTTGCTCCTGACTCTTTGCTATCCTTAAGGCCACAACATGTACTGAGGTATCCCTAAACAGACAGTGGGGAAAACCCTAATGATTCTGGCTTTGCTGTCTCTACCTGTAACATGCCAATTCAGGAGTGGTGATGAGGTCAGGGTAGATGGAAATCAAGGGCTGCCCTGGATGCCCTTTTTCAGAGAAGCCCTGGTTTCCTCAAGAGCCCTATGTCTATACTATCCTTTTAGGATGAGCCTGTGGAGTGGGAGACACCTGATCTTTCTCAGGCCGAAATTGAACAGAAGATCAAGGATTATAATGGCCAGATCAACAGCAACCTCTTCATGAGCCTGGTGAGTTGACAGCTCAAGAAAGGGGAATGGGGAGTGGTGGGAATCTAGCCATATGCTTAGTATCCCAAAGAGTCACAGCCCAAGTATTATTCTTGGGTGGCCCAAGCAGCAGTTTTATGTATACCCAGCCTATACCCAAGTAGACAAAAAGAACCCTGGACTGTTCTTCCTCACCAAGAATCTCCTGTCATAGTTTGGTTTCTCTTTCTCTTTAGAACAAAGATGGCTCCTACACAGGCTTCATCAAGGTTCAGTTGAAGCTGGTTCGTCCTGTCTCAGTACCCTCTAGCAAGAAACCACCCTCCTTGCAGGATGCCCGGAAGGGATTGGGGCGAGGCACAGCTGTGAGACGCCGCACCTCCTTTTACCTGCCCAAGGATGCTGTCAAGCACCTCCATGTGCTGTCACGCACACGGGCAAGTGAGGTCATTGAGGCCCTCCTGCGGAAATTCTTGGTGGTAGATGATCCCCGAAAGTTTGCACTCTTTGAACGGGCTGAACGTCATGGCCAAGGTAAGCTTCCTACACACCCCAGCCCGTGTAAGGGTATATAGACATATATCTGCGTGCATGGGCTGAGGTATCTGGGCATGCCTCTAACTGTACATTCCTTTCCCTGTTCCTGGCTTTTAGTGTACTTCCGGAAACTGTCAGATGACGAGCAGCCCCTCCGGCTAAGGCTCCTTGCAGGGCCTAGTGAGAAGGCCCTGAGCTTCATCCTGAAGGAAAATGACTCTGGGGAGGTAAATGTGAGTACATAATCTTCTTCATATTTTTGGTTGTTAGTGGATAAAGCTAATGGGCTATAGGTACAATAAGATTTTGAAGAACTGAGCTGGAGGATAAGCTCTACAAAGCCTCTTCAGGAGTATAAGGTCCTTAGCTAAAGCAAAGGCTTCCAGGCCACTAAGGCCAAGGCCTAGGACCTGCCCTAAAAACCAGGAAGATTTGTCCTGGTGCCTCGTTCTTTCCCAGTGTGGAAAATTCTCTGGAGATGCAGGAGCCTCTATCTAATAGCATGGGCAGCCAAGGACAGCATGAAGATTCCCCTTTATGCATTTGACTTTTTACCTAGTGGCTAGGGATATAACTCAGTAGTAAAGTGTATGCCTAGCACACTTTACTACTGAGTTATATCCCTAGTCCAAGGTTCAATCTGTAGCACCGAAGGTTGGAGGATGTCTAGCTCAGTAATAAAGGTAGAATGATTTGATCACTAGTCCTCTTTTGGATTTTGTTTGTCTTTTTTGGGGGGAGGGGGGATGACTGGGGATCGAACTCAGAACTTTGCACTAGTCAAGCAGTCACTTCCCAGCCTGTTTTGTCTTTTTAAGACAGGGTTTCACTGTATTGTTCAGGCTGGCCTTGAACTCACTTTGTAGCCAAGACTGGCCTCAAAGTCACAATCCTAAGTTTTTTTTACTTAGATACTGTGTATTTGAAGGTAAGTACAGTCTGATTCAATGAGATGGTTATTTTTATATGACCCCTCCCTAAAGCCTACTGTCAAGAATCCTGGCATGGACTATTCAAGAAAAAGCTTAACATCAAAAAGTCCAGTTTTGGGGGCCAGGGAGATGGCTCAGTGGAATAAGTGCTTCCCTGGCAAGCGCAAGGGTTCAATCCCCAGTTCTGGCAAAAATTAAAAAAAAAAAAAAAAAAGACAAGAAGTCCAGTTTTTGTGAGCCAGGGATATAGCTCAGTGGCACAATGCCTGCCTGGCAAGTACAAGGTTGTGAATTCAATTCCTGGTACTGAAAACACATACAAAAAAATAAAAAAATATTCTAGGGTGAAAAAGCCCAGTTTTCGTTCTTATGACCATTGTTTCCTGGCTTTCTGTGGGGAGGGGGGTGTGCCTACTTGGCCATACCTGCTATATTCTGTGTACTTCTTCTACTTCTTTGCAGTGGAATGCCTTCAGTATGCCAGAACTACACAACTTCCTGCGTATCCTTCAGCGAGAGGAAGAAGAACACCTCCGACAGATCCTGCAAAAGTACTCCCGTTGCCGCCAAAAGATCCAAGAGGCCCTGCATGCCTGCCCCCTGGGGTGACCTCTTATATCCCTGTGTGGCAGGAGGAGAGCAGGCAGTGCCAAGAGCGTGCTTGTGTGAGAGTGTGACAGGGTCCACGGGGCCTGAGGAATGAGTGTGCATCAAGGCCCTCCCCTAATGGGGAGAACAAGCCCAGAGAACAACAAAGGAGCTGACCCCCTGCGTCCACCAATGGGTGTAGCAGGGCATGGCTCTGCACCCCACCGCCTCTTAACGTACTGGGTTACAGCAGGTTAAGGCTGCCCTAGACTTGCAGCAGAGATGGAAAGAGGTAGCAGCAGTCTCCTTAATGTGTATCACAGGTATGAGAATCTTGAAGATCCTACCAACAACAGGGTGATGCTTACAAGGATGAGGACACTCAGCTATGGGGAAAGGTTGTGTTCTGGGTCTTAGATAAAGTCTCAGGAAAGCTCATCAAAGCCAAGAGTGAGTGTTCAGAATAAGGTAGGCATTGAGGTAGAGTCTAGCTTTCTCTTTATAGTGCCTTTGTAAGGTCAGGGAGTATCAATTCACAGTGCAGTAATAGTGCCTCAGTGCCTCCAAGAAGGATGTCCCTGGGCCAGACCAGGGTCTTCAAAAATGAAGACAGTGGGTGAGGCCCATTCCTCATTTATCATCAAAGCCAGGTCTCTCCCTTTGTTTGAGACAGGGTCTCACTTTGTAGTGCAGTCTGGCCTTGAACTCACTGTGTAGCCCTGGCTGGTCTCGAACTTGTGGCAATCCTTCTGCCTCCAACTCCCAAGTGCTGGGATTACAGGCATGTGCCACCACACCTGGCTCCCTCAGATATTTTTGATGACATGTGTGAATGTACTGTATGTGATGTTTTATGGCCTCAACTGAATGCCTCCTGTGGGGAAAGGGATTGGGAGGTGGCATCATCAGGGCCAGAGGCCTGAGAAAATTGACTAAATAAAGATATAAGATTCCTCCTACTTTTTTTTTTGACAGTCTTGCTGGTAATGCAGGCTGGGCTTAAACTCATGAAGCTGAAATGAGCTTCAAGCTCTCAGTG